GAGCAGCTTGGTAGCAGATTTAATGAACTTAAATAATGCTCCCTTCTGACTTAGTGCTTCGTGCCAGCCATTTAGAAATGTTCTCAGAAGCCGGGCGGTGGTGGCGCACGCCTTTAATCCCAGCACTCGGGAGGCAGAGCCAGGCGGATCTCTGTGAGTTCGAGGCCAGCCTGGGCTACCAAGTGAGTTCCAGGAAAGGCGCAAAGCTACACAGAGAAACCCTGTCTCGAAAAACCAAAAAAAAAAAAAAAAAAAAAAAAAAAAACGGAAATGTTCTCAGCCTCACCTGACACAGAATGGAAGTGTGTGAGCATGCCTCCTCTTGCACCCTATGAACCAGCTTAACAATTGTGGGGAACCTAGGAAGTTCATCTTTCTTTGTCCTCCTGAGGTGCTTCATGCCTTGCCTGTCTGGTTTTTGTTTATTTCCAGAGAGAAGAAATAGGACTTCTAGATCACAGTTTAGAATCTGTAAAGATGAGTGTGGTGATATTTCTCTTGGGAATCCTCATTCCTCTGCCACCCTACTTGGCTCTCAGTGTCCCAGACTTAGGCATTGCCTTCAGGCTAGCTTTAAAAAGTAATTAAACGAGGTACAGGACCTGAGGAGGAATAGATTGGGAAATCATCAAGATTTTCTCTTTATCTCTGAAGAATCAGAAGCAGGTCCAAGGAACCATAATTGGGGTTCAGATTGGACTTCAGAAGTATAGTCACCGTACAAGACGGAATTCACGAGAATGCTGTGTGCTCACACGCCTGCGTTGTTCCTGCCTCCCTCTCTGCTGGGTGGTACAGTGAAGCTCCGCACTGGAGTCAGCATGGGAACAGGACTCCTAGGAGTCTTGCTGCTACTATGGAAGCTGACCATGAGTGATTTAGAGGTGCAGATCACATGGTCTAAAATGCAGTACGCCCTAGCACATACCTCTGAATCCTGCCAGCGCCTCCGAGAACACTGGGAAGAGGTCTGGAGGCACTTCCATGTAGATTCTTCACTGTTGCCTGTGGACTCCATATTCCTCCGTCTGTGTGCCCGGTTCTCAAACCCTCATCTTCCTTGACTTAAGTTTCTTAATATACTCCAGGGAGCTACCCTTTCCATTCTCGCCACAGAAAGAGGTTTAGACTGAGGATTCACTGGCTTACTCAATAGGACATATGCTTGATTAAGGACTCAGATTTCACAGCAAGGTTATAGACTCATCTCTGCAGAGATAGATGAATCCATGAAGATTTAATTGTCTAGACAGTTACTGATTGTCTTGATTTTCTCTCTCTCCTTTCTAGAAAGTCAAAATGGTAGCCTTCCCCCCACCCCCTTCCTACTTTCCTCCCCTCAGAAGAAGGGACTTATACAGGGCTTCCCTGTATTCACCAATGATACTCATTCTAAAGACTTCTAAACCTAGTCTCTAAAAGTAGCTGTATGTTACAACATTTGCTAGTAGACTTACATCCTCTATTTAAAAAATTGAAAATCTTGGGGCTGGAGAGATGGTTCAGCAGTTAAGAACACTTGCTGCTTATGAGGTCCAGAGTTCAAATCCCAGCACCCACATTGGGTGGTTCGCAAATGCTTATTAACTTCAGTTCCACGGGTTCCAACACCTTCTTCCAGCCTCTGCAGACACCTGAACACACACAAATAAAAAAGTAAATACTAAAAATTGGGGAAATCTCAGATTAGAAATTTTTAAGAGATTTTTCTCTGCTTCTATTAGTTACTCATCCAGTACTGGATGGATGAAGTTTGTTTTTACTGCTGTCTTTATAGCATTAAAATTATTGAAAAAGGATTACTTATGAAAGGTGACTACTTTTCTCAATATTGGAAACCCTGGTTGGTATTTAAGGGACATCACTCTAGTGTTTTCACATAGTATGAGTTCAGGAAGTACCCCACAGGAAGACTTTGGGGTTGAGTAAATGGTCAACTACAAACAGTTGTTCGATTGCTCTTTATTTTGTCTCCAAAGGTGATCATAACATAGACTTAACATCTAGATTTGGGAGGCTGAGGTGTGGCTCAGTTGGTAAAATGCTTGCCTAGCATGCACGAGGACCTGAGTCCAGTGTCAGTGCCACCAACGCCAGGTGCCGTGGCACAGGCCTGTGATCCCAGGACTGAAGAGGTGGAAGCAGGACAAGGAATTCAAGGGCATCCTTAGCTACACAGAGTTTGAAGCCAGCCTGAGCTACGTGAGACAAAGAATTTAACCCTCTCCTCGCCACAAAAAAAAAAAAAACCTTTGGATTAGAGAGATTGAACATTTGTCAACTTCCTTGAAAGCAAACACTCTTCCCTTAGCCACTTTGGTTTCTCCTACCTTTTCAACAAACTGCCTTTCACTTGAGCAAAACATGGTTGCTCAATTATGTGGAGACTTTTTGATCACCAAGAAAATACCACAGGACTAGGGAGAACACTCAACCCATAAGGAAGATTTTATCCCCAGAACCCCCATAGGTATACCCAGGCACAGTAGTGGATGCTTACAACCTCAGTGCTGAGGAGGCAGAGGCAGGAGGACCTGTGGGGCTCATTGGCCAGCCAGCCTAGCCTAACAGGCAAGCTGCAGGGCCCAGCAAAAGACCCTGTATCAAAACCAAGGTAGACAGCTCTTGAAGAATAACACCCCAGGTTGACCTCTGGTCTTACACACACATGAACATGCATGTGCTCTCCCTATACTCATGAATGTACACACGTGTACATACGTGCAAAAATGACTAGATAGCTCATGAATGGAATTTTTTAAATTTATTTATTTATTTATTTTCAAGACAGAGTTTCTCTGTGTAGCTTTGCGCCTTTCTTGGAACTCACTCTGTAGACCAGGCTGGCCTTGAACTCACAGAGATCCGCCTGCCTCTGCCTCCCGAGTGCTGGGATTAAAGGCATGCGCCACCACCGCCTGGCTCTGGAAATTATATGATTTTTATAAAAGTATAATAGGGTGAGAGTTTCTGCTTCTTACCAGAAGTAGTTAACTGCCAGTAATGCCAGTCATGATCTAGTCTTTGGCATATGAAGATGCTTTTTCAGCAAGAGAATCACAAAGTAATGGAATGTTTATGCTTATGGGAAGAGCCCTCTGGAATCAGGGGATCCCTAAAACTCCTCTGGAGACTGCTGTGGTCTTGAAAAACCAAAAGAAAAGAAAAGAAAGGCATGTGCTAACACTCTAAGTCCTCTCGGGCCAGAGCTCCCAGCTTACACCCACTGCTTCCTTTGTAATTCCCTTTGGAGTCCTCATTATGGAAGACAATACCATTTGGTTCCTTGCCAACGTTCCTTTCCTGGCCACTCACCAGGCCTAGGGAGCGTTTTCTTTCTTTTCCATTCTAGAGCAAACCTGGTCTTTGGAAAATTAGTGTCTAGTTTCCTGGGCCTTGAGATTACTATCTCACTAAGAGAAATTCATTAATGGCTGTGTTTTACAATCCTCCCTTGAGTTCCCTGCTTTCTGTTGAGAGTAACATTGTCCATGAGGAAAAGGTTAGGTCATCAGAGGAACCAGGGACCTCTGACATGCAGGTACAAGTGTAGTTCTTGTTGCATCTTGCAAGGGAATGGTATAAGGTGCTGCCTGGAAGCTGTAGCACAGTCCACTCAGCTTTAATCAGTGGTGTCCGGCTGTTGGGATGCAGGAATTCTGACCATAATGGGACATTTGGGACGGCTGGCTGCTGCTTGCTATGCTAGTTTATTTCCTCACTTGAAACTTACTGCTTTGTTGTAGGTCATTCTTCCTATTTTTTTTTTTTAAATGGGCATTTAGGAAAAAAAAATCATTAGGCAGTCTAGTATAAAAAGAAATTTTGAAGTGCAAAAATAGCCTTTCTGACATGGTGACAGTTTTTCTTATTGCCTTTGCAATTTCATTATGCCAAAATGAGTACTACTTGGCTTTGCATCTATTTGTAGACCTCAGGGGTTATCCTAACACACCACTGAGCCCTGCAGAATCATTGCCCGTCCCCACCGGAGCGTGGCGCTCTTTGCTGCATTGGCTCTGGTCACTGTCTGTTTTCTTTTTTCTAAGTGCCATATGTAGGTTTTGAAAGAAAATGGGTGTTTAGGTCACTTCCAGGGGTAGGCCTGAGTCTTTGGATTTAGTGGTGGCCTGAAAGGAATGGCCATAGGCGGAGATGGTGCTTTCAAGTAAACAATTACCTCAGGCAGTTGGCAGCACAGGTAAGTGCCACATGTCTCTCGAGGGTACCCCGACTGACAGTGGGCATAAGTTTTTAATATCAGACCTTTGGAACAGTCCAATCCCCAAATAACTTCTCTGTAAGCATTTTGTAAATATACCAAATCAAGACACAGACCATTAGCTTAGACCTATGACGAGATGCAGGGTGCGTGTTTTCACAGCTTAGAAACAGCTTTCTTGGCTATTCATTACTGTTATTATTAACTAGTTTTATTATTTAGAATTCAAGATGAGATGCTGTTTCTCAGTTGGAATAGAATCTACTCTTCATTATCATTTTTTGTCAGTGCCAGGATTTACATTTGTAAACTTTATATCTGTAAACACATTGTCTCTAGACAGAATAAGGACTGGATTCCAGCTGAGCTCTAATGAGGCAGGGAGGCATTAGAAGTTTCATTCAGTCTCAAGCTCTGTAAGTAGATGTTTCTCTTTAATTTGTTAGGCCACCATGAATTGCTTTACCTACCCAGGCCCAGGCCAGTGGGCTAAGGTTTTAAACATTTAAACAATCAGGACAGGTTACTGATAGTGTTCCTTTTATACAGTCGCTTTAGTTATGACGGCATAACCCCTGTGTAAATACATGTAAATTATTTTGTATTTTACTTTAAAATATCCAATGAGTAGCTCTTCTGCTGGAGTTGTAAGGCTGATAAGGACGTTCTTCATAAGCCTTCTTGTGGGTTTTCTTTTCATAATTAGACTACATGATCCTCCTTTTCCTGGGTGAGTTGTTCCATATAGTTATACATAGTCGTGTTTATTTTCTTGCAGTTGAACTCGCAATGATAATGGACCGTTTGTATGGTGGTGTTTGCTATGCTGGCATTGATACAGATCCAGAGCTGAAGTACCCCAAAGGTGCTGGGCGTGTTGCGTTCTCCAATCAGCAGAGCTACATTGCAGCCATCAGTGCACGTTTTGTGCAGCTTCAACACAATGACATTGACAAACGGGTAAGCAACCGCTCAAAATAGAATTGCTATGGGGAAGCAATGAAGTTTGTTTTGTGCGGCCCTGGGCAAGGCAGTATTCTGTGATCAGAAGACAGCAGCTGCATCTTGCACGGCATTATGCTGTGAGTCCATAGAGCTTGCCTGAAGAAGAGAGGATCCTTAGTGTTGAAGGTATACATGAACCTCCTCCTGCCTTGCTTCTTTTTCTCCCAGGTGAGGAAAAGAAATCTGCAGAATTTAGCGTACCAAACTAGTAGCAATGCCCTAACAAAGATTGAGAGTCGGTCACTTCTTTGACCTTAAGACACACTTGAATTGACATGTTCAGAAGTACACATAAAAATTTGCCTTTATTCTTTAATTGTAACATCACACTTGGTAGCAATCACAGGAACCAAATACTATTCCCTTCAGTCTCTTCTCCAGCCTCACATAATTTATTACTCATGAAACACGTGTACATACACACACATGCATGCTGTGTTACCTGCCATTTGCTCATTCTGTCTCCTGCTGGGGCTCTGGAGGCGTTGGGTGAACTTCCTTTGATCTAGAGAGGACATGGCAGGTTGAGGGAGTCAGTGTGCTCTGTTGGCTTGTTGGAGAGTGAACAGCACTCCACTGTTGGGAACGTTGGGAGAACGGAGGGTGGGAGGGGTAAATCTAGAACCTAGATTAAAATACACAGAGGAGAAGAACACAAGAAGAGTCTTGAGCTTCTGCCATGAATGGCACAGTGGCTGTTCTTGCTTCTGAATAGAGGATGTCCTTGAGGCCCCGACTGGATTGGAATGAATGAAGCAGCCTCCTGTTACGGAGCTTTACCACACCCTCTGAAGTCCTCTTTGATTAATTTTGTGTAACAGACAATGTTCTTAGCATCTCAGTGGAAATTTCTGTTGGTGATGCATTTTTCATGTTCAGCAAGATTGTATTTTGTTAACATGTGTTCTGATCAAATTACAAAAGCCAGCACTTAGAATAAATATTCTATGGTTCCTTGAGAGTAGGTGGCAGTGGTTTCTTTGTTAATTATTTTTTTATTTTTACCAAAAACTTTAAATTTTGAATAGTTTCTGAGATATTTAGAATCCTGTGCTCCATTAACTCTATTCATCTTCAGATTAAGTTGCATTAGCTGTGTAGTGCTTCCAAGCTATACCAGTGCCTTTAAAGAGACTTTTAAGAGAAAGTAGCTGAATAAAATAATTTCATATGAATTTTTCTTTTAAATGTTACAGCTATAATGTTACCTAATACATTTTAACTTAGGTGCATTATATATATATATATATATTTTTTTTTTTTTTTTAAATCAAAGCCACCTTCCACTCCTGTCCCTCCAATTGCTCCCCTAGTCCCTTCCAGAATTTTCCCCTCTCAACTTCGTGTGCTGTTTTTAAATTCATTGAGTTCACTTAGTGCTGCCTAGAGGTGCATGGATGTAGAACCATCTACTAGAGCACGGACAGCCTTTCAGAAACCGTATCCCCGAGGAAAACTGGTGTCCCCTCCCCCAGCAGGCATCAGTTGTCCATGGCTCCTCTGCCAGGGGTACGACTCCATGAGCTCTTCCCATCCATGTTGGGGTTTAGGTTGGCCTGATCTTTTGTACATGTAGTCATAGCCTCTGTGAACTCATGTGTCATGCTCAGTAAATACTGTTTCACCACAGATGTCACTGCCTCTGACAGTACCTTTCTGTCCCTCTTCTGTGACGATCCCTAAGCTTTGGGGTTGGAGTGTGATACAGATGTCCCACTTAGAGCTGAGCCCTACACAGCCTCACAGTCTCTGCATGCCCAACAGTTATGGCTCTCTGTGTTAATTGCCATCTATTGCAAAAAGAAGCTTCTCTGATGAAGACTGACAGATACACTTTTTAGCAGGTATAAGATAAGAATTTAAGAGCAAGTTATTGCTATGTCTACTCAGCAGAATATTAGTGTTATATTCTTTGCTAGCACCTAGGACCTAGTCAGCCATGGGTTTTTGAACCAGTTAGTTAATGGTACTAGTTATGAGTTTCGTTTTGTGGAGTGGGTCTTACACTCAACCAGAAACTGCCTGTTTACTCTCATAACATTCATACTACTGTTCCACCAGTGGGCATAACTTACCAGGCTAGTTGTTATTGTTCTTACATAGTTCACAGCCGGGTAAAACTGTTGATTACTTTTCTCCCTTGGTAGCATGCATAGACCTTTCCAAAATTATGAAAACTAGCCAGTAGGGATGAGGCTTCCAGATCAGTACCAGCTTGATTTCTCCATGTCCTATGACACAGTATGTGGTGTCTGTAGTAATAGTGTCTTAGGGGGTGAAAATTTCAGTTGGTAATGGATTTTTCATAGTCAGCAAGATGTCTTGTTAGCATGTGTATCTGAGCAAATTAGAATAAATATTCTATGGACTTCTTGAGAACAAGTGGTAGTGGTTTGTTAATTAAAATTAATTTTTTTTTCAGAATTTTGAAACACTCTGAGTTAATGGAGACTCAGAAAAATGACAAAGATTCAACTTTATTCCTGGTTTTCAAGTACCCACACTTCCTCTTTTCTAACAGTAATTCTCATACAAGACTGAGCTCCACAGAGAGGCACAGTGTCTCTCAGACTCACCCCCAGTCCGTAACTATTGCTTGGTTCAGTCTGAGATGCTTACTAAACTTTTTTGAATTCACACATGGTACTTTTTGAAGGGTTCTCATCACTCCTGCTGCTGTTGCTGGTGGACCTGCCTGCTCATTATGCCTCTTCCTTTGGATGTCTGATACACTTGACTCAGGCTGCAATCCCATCCATCACTGGTAAACCTGGGCACTAAAGTTTACCTAGAGAACTTTAGGTTCTCATCGGCATGAATGTAGCTTTCTTTTTTCCCCTCTGAGGATGGTGAATGAGAAAAGGGGAGGGGTGTTTATTCTCCAATAGTCATCTGAGCGGGCGCATCAGAAGTCATGGAGAGTGGCGGCGTCCTCACATGGCGCTTTCTTCTCTTGGAGCCCCGCTGCATCCTCTCATCTTTTCTCGGCCCTCACTCTTCTAAAGCCCATCTCCTTCACTGGAAGCAGTGGGAGCCGACTTGGGCTCTTGCTACTGTTGACCTGTAAACATTGCAGTCCCTCCCTCCTCACTATTATGGCTTCTTGTCCTTGCTCTGAGCATAACCACACAATGCTTGTCTTAGGCATTTGGAGTCTGTTAGCTGCATCCTTCACAGATGTGTTTTAGGCTCGTTCGTACTTCTATTTCTACTAAACTTTACATTTGAGCTTTCTCGAGAGCTGCCACTATATAAAGCACATTTGTATTTCCTTACAGAGAATGTCTGTCATAGGCACCCCTTTCCTGAACAGCTCTTACAGGGTGTTGCAGTGTTCTCATGGTGAAGACCATGAAACCTGTGCTAAAAGTCAAGGGCCTGTGTCTCCCAGTTCCCATAATCCATTTGTGTTGCTATTGAAGATTCTAAGGTGCTGCCCTCTCCTTCTCCTGTGAGCCTGGAGTTACCTTTAACCCTGACTGTTTTAAATAGCGTCAGCCTTCGTCTCCGTTGCCGTCCTCAAGGGTATAAACGTAGACTCGATGGAACCCTGGCACGTTAAAGCCACTTGCCTCCTGTGGCAGCCCTTCTCCCTTGCATTGCTCACTCCAGGAGAAGAATAATGGGGGCCAGCTGCACAGCAGCTGCGCTTGGCCGTCAGGTCCCACAGTCCATTAAGTGTCTGGAACCTTGGGAGTCTGGGCGTGTGTGCTCTCATAAGAGATCAATATATTCTGTATCTCTTTCTGTCCACTGAAATTTGTCAAGACATCTCTTGACAATCTATATTTGTTTATTGTTATTGTTGCTAAGATTAAGATTTTAGATGGGGTAATTTATATAGAAATATGACCTTTGTAGATTTAACTTTTTTCTATCCATCTTAAGAGAATTACTGACTTACCTATCCCTTTAAAACATGTCAGTATTCAACATTCATTGGAACAGTCAATCCTGTAGCTTTAACACTTTGCTTTCCTTTCACTCATCCACTAATCTTCTATCTTTGTGGACAGGTGATTCGTAACAGCTTTATTGAGCTGTTTTATGATACTCGAATATCTAAAACGCCCCCATTTAAAGAATGCTATTGAAATGTTTTTAGTATATTTGTACCCTTGTGCACCTGTCACCAAGATTGGTTTCAGGCAGAGGTATTTTCACATCCAACCTTGTATGTGCAATAAGAGGATCACTTGTGTAGCAGCTCCTGGGGGCAGGTCCACACTGCCTGTATCCTCCATGTTCACTTCACTCATCAGGAGAGGACCCTGCTTAGTCAACCTGTGCTCTTCAGTCAGGAACCCTCCTGTGGGTGTGTTAAAGGAGTTGCTGCGTCCATACAATAATGTCTTACTGCTGTGTCTAGCCACAAGAGGACTTACAGGTGACTAATGGGACTAATGGGCAGAGCCTGGCAGTCCTTACAGATACATGTCCTGATTTTGACTCTGACACATACGTACAGGGTGTGTCAACGAGTGCTGGTGTAGGACGAGCACTTGATTGTGTGTAGAATGAGTTAGGGTGGCTGGGCTGTCTCTCACTGGACATCGAGAGTTACTTCCCCATAGTCTATCTCTAAATCATTCTTCTATTTTTAGTTTTTGTTTTGTCTTGAGACAGGGCCTCCCAGGATGACTACAAACTTACAACCTTCCAGCCTGGGACCACTGAGTGCTGGGGTTACAGTCACGTGCCACCACTTCTGACCCATGTAAAGCAATCGGAATATTTTCATAAGCTCATAATTGAAAATAAATCACTTCCCTATTTAAACCTTTGGTTACATTCTTCTGCCTATTGGATAAAGGTTCAAACAAATGATAACCTTGAACTTTCCTAAATGACCCTTCATGTACCATGCTTGCTCTCCTTTCCTTCCTCCTTTTCCTGAGCCAGCCATAACTGGTCCCATTTCTTAGGGTCAAACCTACAATTACCTGGCTAGTACC